GTGAAGAAATACACGAGTCTGGGTAATTTATAAAGGAAGAAGCTTAATTGACTCACAGTCTGCATGGCTGGGGAGGCCTCAGGAAACTTATGGCGGAAGGCACCTCTTCACAGGGTGGCTGGAGAGAAAATAAGTGTCCCGTGAAGGGGTAAGTCCCTTATAAAACCATCAGAACTCATGAGAACTAACTCACTGTCAGGAGAACAGGATGGGGAAAACTACCCTCATGATCCAATTATATCCACCTGGTCCCTCCCACAACACGTGGGGATAATGGAAACTGTAATTCAAGATGAGATTTGAGTGGGAACACAGCTTAACCATATCAGGCTCTCTCTGGAAGTTCCCTTGTCTGACTGAGGAAAATTTCTTCCAAAACAAATGCAATTGTCTCAATTTCTGTGAATATGCAAAGTGGCTCCCAAATGCTGAGGAACCAAAGACAGAAGAAGACAGATCCAGTTTGTTGGTTTTGGATGATTTATTAAAGGAACTTACAGACAGAAGTGTGGTCTTGGGTGGTGGCAAGACAGGTAGATCTCCGCACTGTTACTCCCCACACCAGGGCTATGCATATACCATAGGGAAAGGGTATGCTTGCTCCAGCAAGCCAATTAAAGGCAACCCTTCAGGACAGGCAAGAACGCTGTATGCATCATAGCCTATGATTTGTGTGATAACATCAAGGTCAACATACTCTTACACTAGGAACAGTAAAGTAGGAATCAGGAGGCATCCACGGGGCTGGGGTTAATCAGATGTCAACATGGTGGATTAGCATCCAAAATAACCAGAAAAGATTAACCACCACAAATGAGACTAAAAGTTGTCACCATGCCCAGACAGACTTTTCATCTATTTTGCTGAGGGCAATTCTGAGAGATTACCTGAGACTTAATCTGCATAAGACTGCCTTTTTGCAGTGCAGTTCTGCCCCTCACCTTCCCATAACTTGTCCCATTCAGTTTCTAAAAAAAAATTATTGCCCTTTGCCTTCGGACTTCTCTGGGGCCGGCAGCTGCCCGACCAGGGGCCCGGGGCCACAGGCTCAGCCGACTACCATGGGCTCCGTGTCCAACCAACAGTTTGCAGGTGGCTGCGCCAAGGCGGCAGAAGAGGCGCCCGAGGAGGCGCCGGAGGACGCGGCCCTGGCGGCGGACGAGCCTCAGCTGCTGCAGGGTGCAGGCATCTGTAAGTGGTTCAACGTGCCCATGGGGTTCGGCTTCCTGTCCATGACCGCCCCCGCCGGGGTCGCGCTCGACCCCCCCCCCCGTGGACATCTCTGTTAACCAGAGTAAGCTGCACATGGAGGGCTTCCGGAGCTTGAAGGAGGGTGAGGCCGTGGAGTTTACCTTTACGAAGTCAGCCAAGGGTCTGGAGTCCAACCGTGTCACTGGACCTGGTGGGGTGTTCAGTATTGGGAGTGAGAGGCGGCCAAAAGGGAAGAACATGCAGAAGCGCAGATCAAAAGGAGACAGGTGCTACAACTGTGGAGGTCTAGACCATCATGCCAAGGAATGCAAGCTGCCACCCCAGCCCAAGAAGTGCCGCTTCTGCCAGAGCATCAGCCATATGGTAGCCTCATGTCCACTGAAGGCCCAGCAGGTCCCTAACACACAGGGAAAGCCAACATACTTCCAGGAGGAAGAAGAAGAAATCCACAGCCCTGCCCTGCTCCCAGAGGCCCAGAATTGAGCCCCAATGGGTGTTTTTTTTTTTTTTTCTTTTTTTTTTGAGACGGAGTTTCACTCTCGTTACCCAGGCTGGAGTACAATGGCGCGATCTCCGCTCACCGCAACCTCCGCGCCCTGGGTTCAGGCAATTCTCCTGCCTCAGCCTCCTGAGTAGCTGGGATTACAGGCATGCACCACCATGCCCAGCTGATTTTTTTTGTATTTTTAGTAGAGACGGGGTTTCATCATGTTGACCAGGATGGTCTCGATCTCTTGACCTCGTGATCCACCCGCCTCGGCCTCCCAAAGTGCTGGGATTACAGGCGTGAGCCACCGCGCCCGGCCATGGGTGGTGGCTATTCTTTTGCTATCGGGAAGTTTCGAGGAGCAGGCAGAGTGGAGAAAGTGGGAATAGGGTGCATTGGGGCTAGTTGGCACTGCCATATATCTCAGGCTGGGGTTCACACCATCACCCTTTCTTTCCTCTAGGTCGGGGGAAAGGGTGAGTCAAAGGAACTCCATCCATGTTCTGTCCAAATGCAAGTGAGGGTTCTGGGGGCGACCAAGAGGAGGGAATCACCCTACAACCTGCATGCTTTATCTTAGGCTCCATCCCCAGAATTTCCAGCTTTTGAAAGTGGCCTGGATAGGGAAGTTGTTTTCCTTTTAAAGAAGGATGTATAATAATAATTCCCATGCCACAGTGAAATGATTAAGTATAAGACCAGATTCATGGAGCCAACCCACTACATTCTGTGGAAGGGAATCTCTCAGGAATAAGGCAGGTTTTTTTCCTCCACATCTTATATCCTCATACCCACTTTTGGGTTAGGGTGCTAGCAACTGTCCCAAGCAATGGGTAGTGATGATGGCAAAAAGGGAGTTTAGGGGAACAGCTGCAGACCTGCTGCTCCTACACTCACCCCGCCCCGTTCTGGGTCAATGTGATTTTATTTATTTGCTCCCTTGGATACTGCACCTCGGGTCCCACTTTCTCCAGGATGCCAACTGCACTAGCTGTGTGCAAATGACGTATCTTGTGCATTTTAACTTTTTTTTTCCTTAATATAAATATTCTGGTTTTGTATTTTTGTATATTTTAATCTAAGGCCCTCATTTCCTGCACTGTGTTCTCAGGTACATGAGCAATCTCAGGGATAAGTCAGCAGCAGCTCCAGGTCTGCACAGTAGGAATACATTTTGTCGTTTTTGCCACCGTGGAGAGCAATTATTTGGAGTGCACAGCCTATTGAACTACCTCATTTTTGCCAATGAGAGCTGGCTTTTCTGCCATAGTGTCCTTTTGAAACCCCCTCTGCCTTGAAAATGTTTTATGGGAGACTAGGTTTTAACTGGGTTGCCCCATGACTTGATTGCCTCCTACTGGAAGATTGGAAATTAGTCCAAACAGGAAATAGTGGTGCAGAGAGGCTAGGAGAGGCTGGGCAAGGTGAAAGGCCCAGAGAGGAGGCCAAGATTAGGTGAGGGTTGTCTAATCCTAGGGCACAGGACGTGCTTTACATCCCAGATCCATTCTTCACCAGATTAGATGAGGCCTACCATGCACAACAGGGTGTGTGTGTTCATAAAACCGGGTTGGTAAGGATAAGTTTTAAGACCAGTACCCCTGTACTTAATCCTGTGCTGTCAAGGGATGGCTACATGAAGTAAGGTCTAAAATCCTTAACCTGTCAAAATTCTTGGGTTCCAGGAAGACACACGAGCAGGGCTTTGTGGTGCCTGGGGCCCGTGTCCTGCCCTGCTGCGGTAGTGATTAGTAGTGTCATGGTAGCTAAAGAGAAAAGAGGGTTTCGTTTGCATACTGTGAGATCACCGCAAACCTACCTCACTGTGTTGAAACGGGACAAATGCAATAGAACACATTGGGTGGTGTGTGTCTGCTCCCGGGTTCTTGTCTCCCCTAAATACTGCCCCCCTCTAGTTATTGTATTTGTCTGGGCTTTGTAGGACTTCACTAATTTGGTGATTGCTAGGTGGCCTAGTTTGTGTAAATATAATGTATTGGTCTTTCTCCCTGTTCTTTGGGGTTTTGTTTACACACTTTTTTGTATTGAGAGAAAAATAGCCAAAGCATCTTTGACAGACGGTTCTGCACCAGGCAAAAAGATCTGAAACATTAGTTTGGGGGGCCCTCTTCTTAAAGTGGGGATCTTGAATCATCCTTTCTTTTGTATTCCTCCTTACCTATCAGACCAGATCTTCTGTCCTAAAAACGTGTCTTCCACCCTGCCCTCTTTTCTGTTCACCCCCAAAAGAAAACCTACACACCCACACTCATACACATTTAATGCTTGGAGTGTCTCCACAACTTTTAAACAATGTATGCAAAAATCCGGAAGAAGCTAGAAACCCTCCATTCCTTGTTCCAGCCTCCTGAATCAAGACCAATAGATTTGTTTTGGTGAGCCACCATGTCCGGCCGACCATTTAATGATGTATTCATGACAAATACTTAAGACACTGCTGTAGGCCAGGCGTGGTGCCTCACGCCTGTAATCCCAGTACTTTGGGCAGCCGAGGTAGGTGGATCACGAGGTCAGGAGTTCAAGGCCATCCTGGCCAACACAGTGAAACCCCATCTCTACTAAAATACAAAAAATTAGCCAGGCATGGTGGTGTGTCCCTGCAATCCCAGCTACTCGGGAGGTGGAGGCAGGGGAATCACTTGAAACTGGGAGGTAGAGGTTGCAGTGAGTTGAGATCGTGCCACTGCACTCCAGCCTGGGTGACAGAGCAAAAAAAAAAAAAAAAAAAAAAAAAGACACTGCTGTATTTTAGATGGATCAAACCTACTTAATTTTTAATCCTAAAGTAGAGAGATGCAATTGGGGGCCTTCCATGTAGAAAGTGGGGTCAGGAGACCAAGAAAGGGAATATGAATGTATATCCAAGTCACTCAGGAACTTTTATGCAGGTGCTAGAAAATTATGTCAAAGTGGCCACAAGATTGTTTAATAGGAGACGAACGAATGTAACTCCATGTTTACTGCTAGAAACCAAAGTTTTGTGTAAAATCTTGAATTTATGGGAGGGAGGGTAGGAAAGCCTGTACCTGTCTATCCTTCTCCTAATCCCTTTCCCTCATTCCTAAACTGCAGGAGAGTGAGCCCCTTTGGGCTTTGGTGACTCCATCACTGGGGTGTGTTTATTTGATGGTTGATTTTGCTGTACTGGGTATTTCCAATTTTCTAATCATTTATTAACACATGCTGACTCTTCCCTTCCCTTCTTTCCCTGGGAAAATACAATGAATAAATAAAGACTTATTGGTACTCAAAAAAAAAAAATTATTTACAAACTATTGTCTGCTTTTTTAAAACTTTTATTTTAGTTCCAGGAGTACATGTGGAGGTTTGTTACACTGGTAAATTGCACGTCATGGGGGCTTGGTGTACAGATTATTTTATCACCCAGGTAATAAGCATAGTACCTGACAGTTTTTTGATCTTCACCCTCCTCCCACCTTCCACCTCCTACTGTAGGACCCCAATGTCTGTTGCTCTTATCTTTATTTCCATATGTACCCAATGTTTAGCTCCCACTTATATGTGAGAACATATGGTGTTTGGTTTTCTGTTCCTGTATTAGTTCACTTAAGGTAATGGCTTCTAGCTGCATCCATGTTGTTGCAAAGGACACGATCTCATTTTTTTATGACTGTGTAATATTCTACGATGTATATGGCAGCACATTTTCTTTATCCACCACTGATGGACATTTAAGTTGAGCTGTTGAGGCATTGCATTTCTCTGCTGCTTCTTTACATGGGAACCAACACAAGAACACCACAATCCCTAAATTGGCTGCTGCGGGATCCTACAAATAAGTGAAAAAGCGGGATGACACAGCCAAGGAGTGCTTGCCTACCCAGCCCCCTTCTTCTGAGCCATAATCCCAAGGGGCGAGTATGATCCAGCAGTGCTTGAAAAGAAGCCCAGCCTCCGAGCAGCCACTCATTCCTGGTAAAGCCCCTTGAAGTCTGCGGCTTTCATGGCCAGCTGACAGTCGCCATTGGGGTTTTGCTGTGTCAGTGGTCTGTCGAATAACAAGAGGAAATGGTTAGCTCTAGGGCCTCAGTAAAGAGCAATGTGGGAAGTGTGCATAGCTGAATACATGATGTTCTTTTTGCTCATTTATTTTTAGCTGCGTCTTGCAACCACACCAGGCTTATGCTCATTATACAGATGAAGAAACTGAGGGCACAGGAGGTTAAAATGACCAGGTTAGGAGTAGGGTTACTGTTCCTTTTCCATCTTCTAATTTGGATATGTATTATGTTTTTCTCAATTATCTGTGTCCTCACAAGAATCCATTGAGAATGATAGATTAAGAGTAGCTATTTTGTCTATTTTACCAATGGACAAAAACTGAGATCAGAGAAGTCAAGCAGCCTGTTCAAGACCACACAGCTAAAAAACATGGCAGGGTGGGCATTCAGACCATATCTTCTGATTCCAATTAGTGTCTTGACACCTTCCATGGAAAGGAGCTGTGGGGGAGGACGAGTGAATTAGTCCATTCTCATGCTGTCAATAAAGACCTGATACCAGCTAATTTATAAAGAACAAGAGGTTTCATGGCCTCTAGTTCCACATGACTGGGGAGGCCTCATAATCATGGTGGAAGGTGAAGGAAGATCAGAGGCACTTCTTACAGGGCAGCAGGCAAGACAGCATGTACAGGGCAACTGTCCTTTATAAAACCATCAAATCTTGTGAGACTTATTCACTATCATGAGAACAGCAATCATGGGAAAAACCCACCATGATCCAATTACCTCCCACTAAGTTCCTCCCATGACACATGAGGATTATGGGAGCTATAACAAGATGAGATTTGGGTGGGGACACAGCCGAACCATATCAGGGGAAAGGAAGATAAACTAGTCTGTCTTCTGCAGTTCTTGTGACTGTCAGAACACTTTGCTATTAACTCAGTTGGATCCATGGTTGATGTTTGAATTTCAAAAAGCCTTACCATCATTGACACCCCACTGTGGAAAACCACAGCACACACCAGAGTTTGGCTGACCAGGAGACATTTCCCAAACCCTTCTCTTAAACGTTTTATGCTACAGAAGATGACATAGCTGAACACTCCCAGCTTAGAGTGGGGATACGCTTTGGATGTTTGTCCCCTCCAAATCTCATGTTGAAATGTGATCCCCAGTGTTAGAGATGGTGCCTGGTGGGGCAGTATTTGGGTCATGAGGGTGGATCCCTCTTGAATAGCTTGGTATCATATTGTGAAATGACTGAGTTCTTGCTGAGTTCACGCAAGATCTGGTCGTTTGAAAGAGTGTGGTACCTCCTTCCTCTCTCTCTTGCTCCTGCTCTCGCCATGTGACAATGGCTCCCCTATGCCTTCCACCATGACAGGAAGCTTCCTGGGGCCCTCACCAGAAGCAAATGCCAGCACCATGTTTCCTGTATGGCCTGCAGAACCATGAGCCAAAATAAACCTCTTTTCCTTGTAAATTACCTAATCTCAGGTATTTCTTTAGAGCAATGCAAAAACAGACTAACACAAGCAGCCATCTGACAAAGTCCTAGCCAATGAAGTCTGTTGGGGTACAGTGGTGAGAGGTCCTGGGAAATATTTACATCATAAAAAAGGTCAGACTCAATTTTTTTCTCCTTTTATCCTGCCTTGAAGGTAGCTGGTGCACCCGGCGCTGTAGCAAGTATCTTTTGGCCATGAGGTAGGAAACCAATGGGCTAAGAATGGCAATACAGTAAGGCAAAAGGTGCTGGATATGTGGATACCACAGCAGCTGCACCAGCCCTGGGTGGTCTCCAGCTTTTCATTAAGCAATAAAAATAAGTTCCCTGTGTGTTTAAGCTAGTATCTACTTTGGTTTTTTCCATTACTTGTCACCTAAAGCATTCCTCCCTGATAGCAAAAAACTAAGGAAGAAGTCTTTCTTTTTCTTAGTAAACATGTAAGAAAACTTGTTATGCTTAGGCTGGTTTAGAAGACTATGATGTGGGATAGTGAGTTTGGTGGCTCTACAGATAAACACAGCTGCCCAGTACCCGACTGCTTCCGAGCTGCAGGCCCTGGGAGGTCTCGCTGTCTCCATAACAAAGCAGTGTGCTTTTGCCCCTCAGAGCCTAGTCGATCTACATCGCAGGCAGGTTGGTATCTTTGATCTAAATATTGTTTAGCTGATTTTCATAAGTAAGGGAAGCTTAGTTTTGTTTCCTTTTTAAAAAATTTAAGTTGTATTATCTTTTGTGTTTTAGGGCCAAAATTCCATTAAATCATGAAATAAATTGTATAGCTCCTCTTCCCCCCACTGCATGCTTTTGATCATTTAATGAAGGAGTTATCTTTTTTTGAGTTATAAAGAATTCACTAATGCAGGCTGGGTGCAGTGACTAATGCAGGCTGGGTGCAGTGGCTCATGCCTGTAATCCCAGCACCTTGTGAGGCTGAGGCAGGTGGATCACTTGAGGTCAGGAGTTGGAGACCAGCCTGGCCAACATGGTGAAACCCCATCTCTACTAAAAATACAAAAATTAGCTGGGTGGGGTGGTGTACACCTATAATCTCAGCTACTCAGGAGGCTGAAGCATGATAATTGCTTGAACCCAGGAGGCAGAGGTTGCAGTGAGCCAAGATCAAGCCACTGCACTCCAGCCTGGGTGACAGAGCAAGACTCCATCTCAAAAAAAGCAAAAAA